CTATTTAGGAATATCTTAGAGCTATTACAAACAATCTTCAACTGAAATGAGTCATAGCCATTAAATAAAATTTAGATTTCAACATTTAATGAAAAAAAATATCATAAAACTGAAAAATAATTAATAGGACTTAGTCTCTTAACAAAGGCTAACCATAATCATCAAGAAAATTATCCAATAAACTTAAAAAGCTATTCCTTTAACTTGCCTTAAATCAAAGTATTAATGAGATTAGCTATTCTCAACAATTTTTTTTTGATTAATTTAAAATTATTTTATGGGTACATAAAAAGAAAATTTTCAAAAAAATTAAGATAAGTCGCTTTTAAAAATTATTTACGAAATTTACAAAAAGGAGGTTATCAGTATTCTAACTTCAAATTAGAATTAGATGAAAAGTTTGACTTTACAAAATGAGATTATTTAATGTATAAATCTACAATTTATTGCTAAAAAACTGTTAGTAGTTAAATTTAGAAATTTTGTATTATGTTTATTATATTAAAAGAGAGTCTTTTCAAGAAGTGTAATCAGAGGAAAATTGTTTAAATGGTACTTAATTGAAAAATCCCACATTTAATTGTTACAAAACAGCTTAATTAGATTTTAGAAATTAATAATAATGCTATCTAAGGGTATATAACTACTAAATTTATAGTAATGTTTTCTAAAAAAAACTAATTTTTTATCCAAATGCGAAGAAGGAATGTACCATTTTTATTCTGGAGCGCTTTTTTGGGGATGAAAACTTAAATATTTATAGAATAAAATAATCTTAAGGATTATTATGTGATACTCCTCGATCTAAGAAAGTCAAAGTAAAAGATAGAGTGATTCAATTTTTGTCAAACTTCATACTTTCTAAGAAGGTATTTTTTGATAAGCAAAAAGAAGAATAACGAAAATTCGATTGTTACTAGTTCGTTACATAAAATTTAATGAGTAAGTTATGGATGATAAGTAACAATATTATATAATAAATTAATTTTATTATTCCATCAATAATAATTATAATTTACACATGTTATTTGATAGCTTCAATAATAAAGGTATTTCAAAATTTATTTTAGCTTTAGAGAACTCAATTTAAGCTAATATAAAGTTTCTTCTTAAAATACTGATGATAATAAAAATGGCATGTTTTCAAATCTCTTTATATATTGGATGAACATAATCTATTGTAAATAATATAAATAATTATCAATTTCATTTAATCATCTATTATATGATATTAGATTCTACTTGACTATTATGTTTAGAGTTACTGAATTGGAGCGAAAGGGTATTTATTTTCGAACAGAGAATGATCAGCCGAAATGAATTTTGATAAGAATTTTTATGAACAATCAGTTCATGGGTATTAACTAAAACTTGAATTTGATACTTAATTTCATTTAATAAACAGTCTAATCAATTTAGGTCTTTTTATCTATAATAAAATCCTATACTAAGATTAAATTCACTAACAAAAATTTAGAGAAATTTGAGGAACCATTTTAATTATTATAATATAATTGATTCTATTCTGAAACTCTCAGTAATAATAATGATCTATAAAAACATATATATAATATAATTAGTTTCATCTTAAAAATAAAAATAAGCAGATTGAATAAGAATTTATAATTTATAAATTCTATTCAAAATTAAATTGCGGGAATAACATATATTTTAATCTTCCCAATATAAATTTATAAGTAAGAATCAAACTATGATTTCTTAAATAGCCAATTCAATTGTAATACCCAAGATTTATCCATTATTATCTGTATTGGTATTTGGATTAGTAGTTTTTCATTGATAGTGTTATTGAAAGCTTTTCATGAAACACATTTATTTGTTGATTCATTCCAACTAAATTAATAAAGTGTTGTTGGCTTATATTATTACTATGTTGCAAGAATGGATAGATCACCAACTGCATATTCTTTATTGACAAGTACACAAGTGGTTCTTGATGCATCATTGAAATTTAGGAATGGATTGTGAGTGGTCCCTGAGCCAACTCCATGACAATCAATTGGTTAAATTTAGGTTTAGTAGTAGCCCCAAGAGTAGTAAATGAACATTTACATGCTCTTGGTTTATGTAAGTCAGATCAGCTACTGTTGATTCTGGAGTAAATGCACATTGACCATCAAATTTTCTTCTTTTACATTATAATTTATTCATATAACAGGAACATATTTCTTATTTTTTATACTATTGAGTCCATTAAAAAAATAAGCATTTTTTGGAGATGCTTTGATATATGCTTATTCTTTAGATTAGTATTATTTAGTTTTAGCTGCTTCACTTTAATAAGAACCGCTTTTAGATCAAGGAACACACTTAGCTTCATCAATTATGCAGACTCCACTCTTACCAACATAAGCTAAGCATTCAGTATCAGAAATAGCAACTTTATTTGGAAATTCTATCAATAAACAGAATGTTTCAGTCCATCAACAACTTTCATCAGTACCTTCATTATCACAATCTGAAGGGATTAGATATAAAGAACAAATTCCTTTATCAATAAATTAGGTTCGATTTGAAACAAAAGTGGAACCCCAATCAGCATATGCTAATAAGTTAGCACCATTTGCATTATTTTATGCTCTGTAATCTTTGCATTGATATTCTGGTAACCATCTACATTTAGTATTATTAATACCAAATGTACATTAACAACTCATCTTCTTATTATGGTAATAAATTCCACTAATAGGTAAACATGAAATTCCAATGCTGTTCTTTAAGCAAAGCGCAGAGTTTCCGCTAATTGCATCTAGCAAACCAAGTGTGGCATGCTTCATTTTATAGTTACTGTTACATATTAATGAACTCATGTAGATGGTTAAATTCTGCCCATTAACATGATGTTTGAGAAGTGTAATCTCCATATCCAACACTATATTAACATCCTATACTTGATGTTTTACAAGTTTGATGATAATCTGAACATTATCATTCTGTTGTAAATGTTTTAGGAGCTTCATAACAAATTTACTAGTACAAGCAACAGGACACGCTGAAACAGCACTTTTTTTGTATGGACCATCATTAGTTGTGAATTTTTAGCATGTATGATCAGTTCTTTTCAAGAATGAACATTATTTTCCAATATCTTAACATTTGGTTCAATTAGTAATACATAATTATGCAGTTACTGGGATGCTAATAATTTTTAACATTTAGCATATTTTTTACTTTTATTATCAGAGCATCTTCTATTCTCACAATTTCCACAAACTGTTTCACTGACTACCATACAATATTTGGTTTGATTGCTTGGTTTCAATCATGAACAAATTATTTATTTTTCCTTATATACAGTGCAATTGGCACTTTTAGGTGCTTATCTTACTCCATTGTATAAACATCTTGATATGAAATTTTCAGAGTTGTTGTAGGCACATCTGTACATTATCTATTTGGGCAACCTTTTTTACTTGTAATAGAATTTCCCTAACATTTCTTATTTCCTGTTTATTACTCTCATTGTTCTTTTGTACCATAATAAGAGAAGCATGCCTCAGTTTTATGAATACAAACTTGAAATTTATCAAAAAATCAGGATGGAATGATTAGCATTCTAAATCATTAGTTGCAGCTACATTCAAATCACAAAATAAATTTGTACAAGAGGTGCCAGTGGTAGCAAGAATACTTTTGGTGCAAGTTGAGTTGTTATTAATATTAAATTGCTATCAAAATGATTAAGATATTCGCATATCCGCTTAATGATGCGCAAATTGTTATTTCAGCTATTTAACCATAACTTTTTGATTTACTTATAAAAAATAAGTTTTAAATTCTTAATGAGTTTAAAAATTAGTTGTTGCAACATCATTAAATGCTTTTTTTTGCAATTTGCATCAATATCAGCATCAGCTCTCCAGTAATCACCATTAGTATTTTTTAAACTATTACACAATGAATTTGTATTAACCAACACCGAAACAAAATCATCCAATCGTACTCTTTTATTGGGCGCAATCACTTAGCATTGTGATATAAGATCAATACAGTATATGTGGCTTGAGCATTTCCACAATAAGTATCACTGATCCATGAACATCTTGTTCTTTTCTGATTAACTGATTGCTAATAATCGATTAATTTAGTTCTAGTTAGGAGACTGCCATAACCTGAACTTGCACATTGGGAAGTTTACATAATTTGCACCAATCGCTTCATAGGATTAATACATGAAATCTGGACCATGAGTAGCTTAGCAAATGATTGCTATTTCATCAAATATCCCTAGATACTAGCAGGATTAGTAATAGTTTTCTTGCATCCTAATATCCGCATAATTGTTGATACCACCTGTTCTTACTGTGCTTGAAAAGACACTTTCAGGTGGATTATAATAAATAGCTCTACCTGAAAAATAGGATCATCATAGTAAATATTTTCAATTTAATATTATACCTAACTGTACAAGCTCTTGCATAACTTTTAGCAAATGGGTTATAAGAACAATATTCATCAACTGTGTCAGCATAAATAAGTATTTTTTTTCATCAGCATATGTTATTATAGAAGCAATTATATAGCCGGCACAGGCAACTAATGTATAACAAGCTCCGTTATAGAATTTATAGTTCATTTATCAAGATCAACTCTAAAACTTCCTTTTCCTAATTTAAATCTGCTTATGATTTCGGTTGGGTTAGGATTAATTACTGTTGCTGAAATTGCATCAACATATGTTGTTGTATTAGAATTATATGGACATTATTTAACAATTCTGATATAATTGGATTTTAAGGATGATCAATAAGCAGCTTAATCTTCATATATTCTGGTAATTGAATAATCAGCATATTTTATTTTGTAGTAACAAATTTGTTGATTGAAAATTAAAATTTTTCATCATTTAATATTTTATTACTTTTTACATTATGCCATGTAAGTTTATTTGTAAAACCAGTTTTACTTGTGTATGAGGAACATTAATTTAAAAGAAATTTAAGCTGTCCCATTTTAATATTCACATAAGATATTTGTTAAGGAATTTACCCATAGATTATATGTTGTAGATGAACATGAATTTGTAAATGCTATATTATATCTACATAAATAATCTGATTTTGTGGTAATTTAACAAAAATAATTCTACTTCTCAGAATCATCTTTATTCGTAAACTTATATCCATAAAAAGAGCTACACTTTGAATATCAGTTGCTTAACAACATATTTTATCCTTAAAAGCATCAGTAGCATTTATGTTCCAATATCTAGTGATTATTTTACTTAAATTTATAGCATAGTTTTCGAGCACCTGTATAACTTGAAAATTATCTGTTTTTCACCACAAGATATTGATTAACAAGCTTTTGTTTCAATTTTCATTAATATTATTTGTAAATTTGGCTTTAAAGGCTTAGCATGTTTATTGTGTTTCCTTAAATTAAGTACCATGGACAAATTTTGTATAATTAGTAAAAAGATCTTAAAAGTAATGTAGTGCAAGTGTTATAGTCAGTTACTATAAAATCATTGCATTTGGATTTTTTGCATGAACTTGATTCCCATTTACATGGTATATCATTTATTTACCACTTTAATTAAGACTACAAGAATGATCCACAACTAGTATTGGAGCCATCCACAAATATCTGTTCCATCAAAAATAGCTTATTTCACAGTATCTTACAAAGTGTTGATGATATCTATCCTGTTCAATTTTATACATAAACTTTTGTATTATTCACATTATGCTTATGATATTAATGATTTCGGAGTTTACATCCAGTTTTTTCATCTAATACATTCTTCATCAGTTGTTGCTGATTTTACACTACAAATCTAGCTCTGCATTTATTACTTGTTACATCTCAAGCACATATATATCTGTAAAAACATCCTATAAAACTTGTAGCAATTCCACTATAATTTTTACAACCAGCTCTTGTTGCAATACATCCTTTCTTCTTATTACACTTTCATCCTAGTAGGTAACACAATCCTTAAACAGTTTTAAGTTTAGTATCAGCACCTGTGCATAGATGAAATTTATAATTATCAAATTTATGATAAAATTACAATTACCATCTGATCCTCTCACAATTAGACATGTTTCTGAAGTTCATTAGTAATTACTACACTTTGGAATTATATCAATACATCCAGCACCTGTTGACTTACAAGCAGCTTTTTAAACATTTAAAAATGCTGCATGAGATATTAGTGAAGAATTAGCCTCAAAAAGATAATAGTATCTACATGATTCTCCATTAAGTTTACAATTGCTATTATTGAACAATAGGGTGTAAAAGAAACTGCAGTGGTGTTGTAGTTTTGACACAAGATCCTGGGGTTATAGCTGCTTCCTCACTCCAAGTACATCTATATGATTAACAATCTGAAGATGATTTGAACTATGTGCATTCATCAAATTAATCTTTTTTTGTCACAGTCTTTTACTTAGTTTTTGTAAAATAATATTATTTTTTTTTTTAAGGCTATTAATTTCAATTAATCTTTTATTAAAAATACATAATTATAATTTGAAATTATTCTATTTGTTAAATACAATTAGCATATAATATTTATAATTTCAAAATAAACACTATTATTGAGAATCTGCACTCTAGAATAAAATTTCTTCAAAGAGCCTTTTTCAATTATAAAAAAAAGTTAATCTTCACATGGCATTAAGGTACACATTTGTTAGTGAATATTTGTTGAATAAATAATGTAAATTTACTCATCAAATCTCTGTTAGAATTACATATTTATATGTTATTTTTAATAACATTTATTTTTGAACACAAACAGCATTCTTACTTTTTTCCATTCATTTCCTCTATGAGCAAAAGTATTCTTCATATTCTTCTATAAGGGAGAACTGCCAAAAATCATATTTTATTGATATTACCTATTAAATTTTGATTTAAAATGTCTATTTAATAAAGCGACTAATACCAATTAAATCTTGATTTAGGGGATTATATTTTCTTTTTCAAATTCATAAAGTGAATTGCTCAATCAAAAACCTATAGATTTCATATGATTATTTTAATCTCAAATTGAGCCTTTTCTCAACTTGTTTATACTGATAATTCTATTTTTTTTATTAACTAATATCATTCTCATAATCATTTTAGTCACAAAATAGAAGAATAAAAGTGAATGGTCTTATTATAAAATATTCTTCTAATATATTTTAAGATAAGAAAATTAATCGAAAATAAGACACTATTTCAATAATGTTCATTTTGATTAGATATCTAAAAATTATTACAAAAATATATAAAAATCCCTAGTATGCTGAAATCCTTATAGAATCTTAACTTTTATAATATTGATATTATGTTAATCATCTGCTTAATATTGAATTTTTAGAACAAGAAAAATAAAAATCATTCCAATATGAATGAGGATTCATAATTTACAATAAAGTTATTATTACGATATCTTGATTTATATGAGAATCATTATAAGTCTGTTTTAAATTGATTTCTATTAATATTAATTAGATCTAAATTATGGTGTTTTTAAAATATATTGAATCCTAACTATAAAATTTTACTAAGTTGAAAATGAATAAGCATTCTACTTTGTGTTATTTATTGATTTCCTAATTTTAATTCAAATGGATCAATAGAGTTGATTTAATATGTGAAAAAAACTAATACTCAAATTAAATAAATAATTATTAAATAAGCTGTCTAAAATACATATTAGCAAAAGAATGAATGGGATTTTATCTTATATATCATATTCAATATAGAAATTATCATTCAAAATGTCTAATATTCTTGACAATATAATATCACTATTATAATTATCATTTCTATAATAAGGTTCCATATGTTTCAAAATTACACTTTTAGACGTGTAAATATGATTTCTTTTAGTAGATATATATTTTAATATAAAAAATTCAATAATTACAATCAAAGATAATAATTATGACAAGAATTAATAGGGATTAAAAATATAATATACTCTAATAGTAATAGGGTATATTGTTTAAGTCAAATATAATTAATTTAAGAATAATAGAATTGTGATTAAATAAAGCTATATAAATTGATATATAAGTACTATTGTAAAGACAAAAGAACTTCTATAAAGTTCTAAAGTCGCATATATATGATTCAATCATATCTAAAATTTAAGATTATACTGTAAGGATTGTTAATAAAGGCTCAAAAATTACAAAAGGCTTAATTTAATTGGATGAAAAATTTAATTACAATTAAATATTGAAAAAAAGAATATCTCTTTAGACAGATTTTAAATTAACAATATTCAACCTCTGTTGTTTTCTTAATCTCCAAAAGGAGAGCATGAGATTTCGTATAGATCTCTATCTATTTCTTTAAATTCTGTTAACCCACATTTAACTTCTTAATCATATCATTTTTTTATATATCATTCACCTTTTATTCTTAAATACTCAATTATAATTAAAGATTAGACTTTTTATAGCTTTAATCAAACTTAATTGACATTTGAAACATCTATGATATTCAATTTCAATGCTATTATCACAAATTTCTACCATTTGCATTAACTTATATCTACATAAAAATTCATTTTTATCACATTAAATAATTATATTTTAAATAAATTCATTGTTAATTATGTAATTTCCTTCCAAAAAAATTACATATAGTTTGCATAATAAAAATTAGAATTACAAAATAAATTATAGTTTTTAATCAAACAAACGTACTTTTTTATATACTCTATTTAATAACAATAATATTCATATACATTAAATATTAATTCAAATAATATATCTTAATTTTACGATTCAAACATATGAAATAATATCAAGATAACTCTTCTGTTATCTAGTTGAATAATTGAATTGGATTAAAAATCCTTCTTACTTAATTTTCAAATTCCATCTTTGAATTGATAGCAATTTTAACCATATTATTATTTATTACTATAATTTAAATTTGTAATATATTCTAATCTTTTAAAGTGTTTGATTATTCAAACATAATTCATTTATAAGAAAATGGTTTTATTTACAATTTAAGCATATTTCATTCACAAATAAGGCAATCACCACTTATATCAGTTGAAAATTTAGCAAATTAAATCATTTCCACTCATTGCAAAATATTCATATTCCCTATTAATTTCACAGAATTTAATATTATATCTTTATTAATAGCCCACTTCGCATTCAAGACAAAGATCCTTGAAGTTAAAATTACTAAAACTTTTATTTCAAAATAGTATACAAACAATTTTCATTCTGCATTTTTCTTGCTTTTTCATCTCTTACAAGTTAGATATTTCGTAACTATCCAATGATACACATTATTACATTTTTAAATTAAAAATTTAAGAATAATAAAGTACAACTATTTTGAAAAATATAAAAATAAGCATAATCTTCGCATTTTAAACAGATACTCTTGATTCTTATTTGACAATATTCTAATTACTCTAAAAATATAGAAGATTGTCTACATTCTTACTTATTAGGGGTTAATTCATAACCTTATTAACAAAGATAGCATGTTTAAAATTAACAAAATTAACATTTATGATGACATTAAAATAGATTCTTAATTTAAGATCCATTGAAATAGATTAATTCACTAAATAATATGCATATTTATTAATTTATATCCATATCTAACCCTAAAATTGATAAACATTTCTATATGGCTTAATCTTCCTCATTTTCATATTAATAACAAACTCCTTTAATGCAACTAAGACATGATTTAATACAACNTAAAAATTAGAATTACAAAATAAATTATAGTTTTTAATCAAACAAACGTACTTTTTTATATACTCTATTTAATAACAATAATATTCATATACATTAAATATTAATTCAAATAATATATCTTAATTTTACGATTCAAACATATGAAATAATATCAAGATAACTCTTCTGTTATCTAGTTGAATAATTGAATTGGATTAAAAATCCTTCTTACTTAATTTTCAAATTCCATCTTTGAATTGATAGCAATTTTAACCATATTATTATTTATTACTATAATTTAAATTTGTAATATATTCTAATCTTTTAAAGTGTTTGATTATTCAAACATAATTCATTTATAAGAAAATGGTTTTATTTACATTTTAAGCATATTTCATTCACAAATAAGGCAATCACCACTTATATCAGTTAAAAATTTAGCAAATTAAATCATTTCCACTCATTGCAAAATATTCATATTCCCTATTAATTTCACAGAATTTAATATTATATCTTTATTAATAGCCCACTTCGCATTCAAGACAAAGATCCTTGAAGTTAAAATTACTAAAACTTTTATTTCAAAATAGTATACAAACAATTTTCATTCTGCATTTTTCTTGCTTTTTCATCTCTTACAAGTTAGATATTTCGTAACTATCCAATGATACACATTATTACATTTTTAAATTAAAAATTTAAGAATAATAAAGTACAACTATTTTGAAAAATATAAAAATAAGCATAATCTTCGCATTTTAAACAGATACTCTTGATTCTTATTTGACAATATTCTAATTACTCTAAAAAATATAGAGGATTGTCTATATTCTAACTTAATAGGATTGATTCATAAACATATTTATAAATTTACATTCATATCTAACCCTAAAATTGATTACCATATATATATGGCTTCGTCCTCCTCATTTTCAGAAAATCATTTGATAAAATATAGATTAGCTAAATTAAATTACAATTATTAAACTATAGAAGAAAAAGAACAATAATCTTAAGTAAATTGATATCAATAATTTTTTAAACATACTCAATATTTTAGGATTATGAAATTAAATTTTTTGTTGCGTTGTACAATAACTTCTTTGTTGCTTATAATATAAATTGAGCTATATTTGAAATTAAAAAAGCTGAAAATGTCAGAAAATATCTTTGGAATAACATATATTAGATCTTATTAAATGATATGTATAATATGATAATGCCTCATAACTTTGATAGTTATCTCTAAATGTAATTCTTATCATTAGATCCTTTTTCCAAAGCAGACAAATATAATTGTTTAGCTTCTGATTTCTTCCCTAATTCAAATAATGAATCAGCTAAATATAAATATTAGTTTTAAGTACCTTTTCGTTATAATCTTAGAGAATTAATATTGATAGAAAGAGCTTGATCGTAACATGAGATTGCATCATTATATTTCTATAGTTAATGTAAGGCATAACCTGAAATATAATTTAATTTACCCTTTTGACTCCACGCTTTATCATGCTTTGGATTAATGGAAATTGCTTTGTCGTAGCATTCAATGGCTTCTTAATATTTATTCAACTTCCTTAATGCAAATCCTATAAAAGAATGTTAAACAAATAAATACCCTTGTTATTCCACGCATTATCATTTTTAGGATTAATGGAAATTGCTTTGTCGTAGCATTCAATGGCTTCTTAATATTTATTCAACTTCCTTAATGCCAATCCTATAAAAGAATGTTAAACAAATAAATACCCTTGTTATTCCACGCAGCATCATACTTTGGATTAATGGAAATTGCTTTGTCGTAGCATTCAATGGCTTCTTAACATTTATTCAAACTATATAATGCAAATCCTATAATAGAATGTTAAACAAATAAATACCCTTGTTATTCCACGCTTTATCATACTTTGGATTAATGGAAATTGCTTTGTCGTATTATTCAATGGCTTCTTAACATTTATTCAACTTCCTTAATGCCAATCCTAATTTATAATTTAATTTATTATACCTTAGTCTAATAATCTTTTAGCCTCTTTAATGTTATTTTCCTTTTATTCTTCACTCTCCTAATTAATTTCTTCTATTTTAATTAGATCTTAATCACCTGAGATTATATAATCACTACTTTTAGTTAACTCTATAACCATATTTTTAATTGCCTGAAGAATATTATTTAATTATATTATTTGTTATTCTATTATAATTATTCAATGTATACATATTTAATTTTCTTTTTCCTTTGAGTAAAACCTTTTGATTATTTTGATTTATGCCTTAAAATTCAAATATTCTTTGTTTTAAAGTTATTGTTTCATCTTATCTAATATTGTAATATCTTGTTCCATAATTTTAAAAATCTATTCAAAATAATACTAAAGTGATTTTGATATTTCTTTGTATTATTTACTTTATTGATTCTAAACTTAGATTAATTCATTAATATATTAGTTCAATTTAGAGAATCGAATGCAATCATTTAAATGATCTAAATGAGTTGTTGTTAAACATTCATAACAATATTATGTTGCATTTTAACAATTCTGATTCAAGCAAAATCCAATTATTTCTTCATTTTCATGATTTAGGTATTTACACTTAAAGAATTCCATTTGAATCTTAAAAAATAAAAATAATAATAAAAATTCATTAATTAACTTTATACATAAATATCATTAATTTATATAATACAAATTACAATATATTTTTTAATCAGAATTTTCTATTATTTTCCATTTCATTTCCTAGAATATTTTCAAATTAATTAAATTAATTATTTATCATCCAGAAATATAATTGATTGCATCAAAATTAAACGATGATATCTGAAAACTTAGAAATAACCCAAGAGATTATAAAGAGTAATCCAATATCTGAAGCTTTGTCCAATTTAACGAAAAATGTGATTTATATAAAACTATCAAGATCTTAATAGTTTATAAAT